AAAAAAAGCCATGCAGCGATGCTGCTTTCTCACACGGAAGGATGCAAGGGTTAGAAAAGGTCAACCCTAAAAATATCACACCTCCCCTACCTCACGGATTTCCGTCTCCTTGGGTAAGGGTGCCCACTAAGGGCCTTTAAGAACGGAGCTAATCCTCTTAAAACGTTTCATAAAAGGCCGTGCGTGACCGGCCTCAACCAGTTGTCCCTTGAACTCTGCGGTCACGCAACGAAGTCTCTAAGAACAACTCTAATCCACCTTCCTTTTCAGGTTCCTCAAGAAACAAAGTTCCACGGTGTGGGCAGCCCGGAAGTGACAACCGCTCTCATACCCGTAACAGCACGCGAGACCAAATCGGTCAAAATCAAATCCTTTCTACACCCCCTGATGTCTCTCTTATCTCTACGACTAACTCTACTCACACTCCCTTTTCTCACTGCACCGCTAATGCAGACGAAGCGAGATCACGAAACGTCGTTCCTGGTCTCTTGAAACCCCGTTCTAAACTACATGTTGGAGCTTTTAATGTACGGACATTGTGTCAAATAGGGCAACAGGCATCATTAGCTAGGACTTTAGAAACTCGTGCTATCGATGTATGCTGCGTCTCGGAAACGCGCATACAGGATCCTAGTAAAGTCATTAACTTAATTCCACCTTGTCAAAACGAAGAAGCAGCCCGATTCACTCTTCGTGTATCCGGTAGCCCTGATGCTGCTTCCAGGGGTCTTGATGGCGTAGGCATAGCGTTGAGTCCTAGGGCAGAATTATCTCTCCTTGACTGGATCCCAGTAGATAGTCGTTTGTGCGCTGTCCGACTAAACGGGACAGTAAGGACTCGTAAGGATAGGGACACTCGCCGTTGCCTCTTCGTCATATCTGCCTATGCCCCCACTGACTGCAGTGCAGACGAGGTTAAAGATGAGTTTTACAGAAAGCTTTTGGACCTCCTCCAAAAAGCTAGGCACTCTGATATAGTAATAATGGCTGGTGACTTTAATGCTCAAGTAGGTAGACTAGGTGAAAATGAAAGACATCTTGGTGGATGTTATGGTGTAGCGACTGAGAGAACAGACAATGGCGACCGTCTGTTGCAACTATGCTCAGATAACCGCCTATTCTTAGCGAACACCAACTTTAGGCATAAGGAAAAGCATCTGTTGACCTGGCGACCTCCAAAGTCGTCTCAACGTTGGACGCAACTAGATCACATCGCCATCAGCCACCGATGGAGGTGTTCGATAGAAGACTGTCATTCGTTCTGGGGCACATGTCTAGATTCAGATCATGCCCTAGTGCGAGCTCGTATTTGTTTGAAGCTTACTGGACGTAGGAAAGACACCGTGAGGAAACCTCTTAGGGTTCTACTTAATGATAATAAAGCTAAGAATATACTTCAAGAACAACTAGAAAGACAGGCAACTATGTAAGTGATTCCCATCCGGAGGCAGGTTGGAATGATATCAAAAAGGCTGTGGAAACAGCAGTGATATCTGCTAGTAAGGTTGACCATAAGGCAAGAATAAATCCGTGGATCTCAGTAGCATCCACCGATCTGATGGATGCCCGAAAACTCATCCCACCTGGCTCTGAACATGATGAAGAACGAAGTCAACTTAGGCGCAGACTTATAAAAAGCCTACGTAACGATCGTGAACAGTGGTGGGTAGCGAAAGCAAGAGCGATGGAAAAGGCAGCAGCGATAGGCAACAGTAGCCAACTATTTAGACTCATCAAGGAAACTGGTGTTAGGAACCCAAGTGTGAGTGAGACTATTTCAGAAAAGGATGGGTCTATTATTTATTCTCAATCCAGGAGACTGGATCGATGGGCAGAACACTTTAGGGATCAGTTCAACTGGCCACGAGCCACTCTTCGGTTACCCACGATCTCCAGTTATCCTGAATGGCAAATCGACATAAGCCCCCCTAGTCTTTATGAAATTGAAAAAGTGTTAGGAAATCTGAAGCGAGGGCGAACTTTAGGTCCTGATAGTCTGACCCCTGAGATATTTGAGGATGGTGGTCCAGTTTTAGCAGCTAGGTTGACTGAGATCTTAGGTAGAATCTGGGAACTGGACGTAATCCCATCCGACTAGTCTCAATCACTGATTGTCCCAATCTATGAGAAAGGACTAAAGTCTTCTTGTGACAATCACAGGGGAATAAGTCTAACTAATATAGTATCTAAAATATTGGCCTCAGTAATACTTCGACGCTTAACGAAAGCTCGTGAAGAGCAAACTCGAGAAAACCAATCTGGTTTCCGACCTGGACGTGGTTGTATAGACCACATTTTCACACTACGACAGGTCCTGGAACACAGACACACATTTAGGCGTCCTACAATAGTTGTTTTCCTGGACCTAAAAGCGACGTTTGACTCAGTGGATCGTGAGGTTCTGTGGCCGTGTCTGTCATTGAAAGGTGTACCAAAGAAGTACAATAACCTCATACAAGCTCTCTACTCGAACACCACTGGTCGAGTGAGGGCTTATGGCGAACTGTCACCGGAATTCTTTACTTCAAGTGGTGTCCGTCAAGGATGTCCACTTTCTCCATTCTTGTTCAATTTTATCATAGACATGCTCCTAGACATAACCTTATCCTCGTCTCAATTTTCAGAAGTAGACCTTCTATCAGGTGGCTCGCTTAATGACTTAGAATATGCCGATGATATCGTACTACTTGGTGAAGACGCTGACAAAATGCAGTCTTCTGACTACCCTAAGCAACAATGCAAGCATGTTCGGGATGCGGTTTTCCCCCTCGAAATGTAAAATGTTGCTTCAAGATTGGGTTACATCGGCACCTGAACTGGCGATAGGGAGTGAAGTAGTCGAACGTGTAAACCGCAGGCAGACTGACTGACTAATCGCTTCACCTATCTGGGGAGTCTCATCAGTGCTGATGGCCTGGTGACTGACGAAATCTCAGCACGGATACAGAAGGCTTGATTGGCTTTTGCCAACCTGCGTCATTTATGGCGTGGGCGAGATATCCGTTTGCTGACTAAAGGACGAGTGTACTGTGCAGTGGTTCGCTCCGTCTTACTTTATGGCTGCGAAACATGGCTAGTGAGAGTAGAAGATATTCGTAGGTTACTGGTTTTCGATCACAGGTGTCTTCGAAGCATTTCTCATATATCCTGGGACACCCGAGTGAGCAACACTGTTATTAGGAATCGGATGCTATGTAAGAATGGATGAAGAATAGATGAAGTGGTGAAACTTCATCAGTTGAGGTGGTTGGGACATGTGCTGCGTATGCCTAACCACCGACTGCCTCATCGAGCTTTGTTTTTTAGTGTAGGAGTAAGTTGGAAGAAAGTTAGGGGCGGCCAAACCAAAACATGGCACAAATCCATGAAGTCATTGACGAGTGTATTGAGTCATGTCGGTAGGTGTCGACTACCTGGTTGGGTTCCGCGAGATGACAATAATCGATGGTTACAGACCTTGAATGACATGGCTCAAAATCGTTCGCAGTGGCGCCGGTGCATTTATTCTTTGTGTTCTCTCAAATCCTAATCTTCTGGATTCTTCAACACCTCTAGTTTTGACTTGCTAAACTTTTCTCACTGAATCATATTTCTTGAATATCTTCTAATCCTAACCTCTCCGATTACTTCTAATACCTTTACTACCTCTTTTCCTATTGGATTTTAATTGACAATTATATCTCTGTGCTGATGTGGTATGGCAACATGAACTGATGTATTTACGTACAAAGTTCTACGTTGCATCTGACTGACTGAGGCTTCAGTCTGCCATTTGCACTTTCCTAAATGTATTTATTAATAGCATCATAAAGAATGAAAGTATATTAAGTTTTAGTAGTGAAGTTCCTTTACGACAAATTCGGTAAACAAGATTAAAAACCTTCGATAAACATAGTGATCTTTGCGAAACATTTGGAATACGCCAGAACTATACCTGGATTCCTTTGGCAATATGACCAACGACTGTGGCTAGATCTGGTTCTTTGAGCTGATAATCATTGATCAGGTGATTTTGCCGAGCACGTTTAATAATCTGCAGGGGTGCCGGTTAAAAAATGTTCTGTACCTTGTCATCAATGTCTGTGATATTTAAGACGTAAGTAACCTCAAAGTTGAAATAATCCACCAACACGCGACGAATGATGTCAAACGCAACATACGTTCTTTAGAGCATTAGTAAATAGAAATCAGAGACAGAACCTGGCATGGCCCATATGAGACACATCATACACAGTTGGACCGCAGATATACCACTTGATATGTCTCCCATCTTGAGGAATAAACAGATCCTAGGAAGTGCAAATTAGGATAGCCGGGCTTACCTTTCGTGAAGTCAGGCTATTGTAAAGATAAATACTCGGTAACTGTCCGTCTTGAACGTTTGGAACTGGAGTGAACCATTTTGGTTGGGTCCGTTTTTCCATTTTTCCTACTGTAAGATAGGTTAAAATGAATATTATTAGCACACACTGGAGTAAGGAAGCAGGGGTGATTGGAATGGCCGTAGATTAAGTGACTTAAGAAAATGACGACTCAAACTATAGAGCATTAACTTAGGGCGTTGGTAGCCCACAGGATGAATTACGCTCGTTCATTCTCCAATCCTCGATCAACCCAAACCTGATACTCTTTTCATAAGCTATTATAAACTGATAAATTTCTTTTCTCTTGCTTCTTCTTGTTGCGATAGAGTTTTTGGTAGTTATTCATGTAAAATGAGTAGTGGTCCAGCCACTTGACTACACTATATCTGGTCACTCGGCAGTTATTTATGAATTTATACGTCCTGTGTTTTGAGCGAATGAGTTGGTCATATGGCGATTTGGTTTCTAGATGCTGACAACTATCACATCACGCGACCGAAAAGCAGTTAGTAGAGAATTATGAAAGAAAATTCTAATGCTTATAAGAAGAACGTTTCAGAAATGGATGAAATGAAATAAGCCTTGTATTGGGATTGAAACGAAGTCATCATTTAGGAAGATTTCCAGGGGCGCACGGAATGCTGTCACATTAGGTCATTTTTAAGACACCTATAGCACTAAACTCACTAAAAATGAGCTTTGACGTTACTAGTGTGAGGTTATTTTCGTTACAGTTAGTGTAAGACTTTTGATCATAGGATATCAAGACTTCTTGATCTCTTTCAACCAGGGACACCTACAGAGAAGAATTACCAAAGTTGTTTATAAAGTCTGCAGAATGTCCCACTTGGACTACTTTGAACTTTGAAATGCTAGGAGAAGTCCGTCATTCTCCCAACGTTGAAGTCGAATCGGAACGTCCTGAAGAACTAGTTTATTATCTTGGCTGCAAACTTTTATGAAAGATTAGCATAGTCAGCGAAAAGCGTTAACTCAGACGATACTTGTTGAGGAAGGTCATTTATATGAATAAAAACGTGCTGATATCCTAACACTGAACTCTGAGGGACTCCAGGTACTTCAACAACTGGTGTGATATGTACCAGCTCCCAATTATTTGAGGCCATCCCTTCACATAGCGAATGTGGTAACATCACACTAAGAAGTGTTACAAATATTGAAACCACTTCTTTTAGTATAGCATGGTGACCCACATCAGGGCTAAGAAAAGTGAACTTATTAAGGTGAGGCAATTTTTGACAAACCAGATCAGCACTTATATTCATTTCTGAGATTCCTCTTAGGCTGCATGTGAAGCTCTTGTTAAAGCAGGTCATATGTGACGGTTGAGATGTTTGAGTATACTCTACAGTACCACCATCCTTATTGGTTTGGACATTAGGAGCTAACGACTGTGAAACTCTGGTTTGGGCTGGTCGATGAAGTGTATAAAGAAATAAGCTTTAGTGATTGGAGACAAGGCTATTAACTAGCTTAATCTGATATCGAAGTCTATCTTCTATTACCGCCCTTGAGCAATGGGTCCTCGTTAGTTTCGGCTCACCACAATATTCAGTCGTTACATGTCGTGCTTCCTAGTAGAACCGATCCAGATTTTTCTTCAAAAACTAATGTATTGAACCATTTGAAGTTCCAGCGCCTGTTATTAGTAAGACGTTTAGCTCGGTCTTGTTAACAAAACTGAAGCATATGACCACTTAATCGACTTTTTATAGGGTATCAAGAATTGGGAGGGTATGCATGGAGTCGCAAGCTTCCAATCTTTGACGATACGATGACCATGTTTCAGATGTTCCTATCAGACAAGTGTTGTTAGCTCTGCTTAGTTCATGCAACTCATCCATTTTGTTCGGTAGACTTGGAGCGTTCGCATATAAGCATCGGACACTTTGGACTTGAAACAGATGAAAGCCTTATTCTGGTTTGTCTTAACGAGAGTCGGCAGGTAGCCTACATTCGTAAGCGTTTCAAGTGGGTGGTACCTATCCTCCCAGATTTCTTTCGTGTACCTGACAACTGACAAGCGGAATGGTTAATTCCATTTTGCTTTTGTGCTCAATCCTAGCATCGCCTGGCCATTCCGGATGCTTGGGAATTCCAGTTGAAAAACTTTGTCCAGTGTCTTCAGAGTTGCAACCGCTACCGGTACAGCGGGAAATGTTATTTACGGTAATCAGGGTTTGTGATCCACGTTCCTCTTAGTTAGCCGCACTACTTAAGGGATCAATAAATTCTTAAGCCCCAAGGACTGTTTTGTGAACTTCCACTGATTAATATTTTTGAATAGTTTGTCAAGATCCGTATTTACTGAATAAGTGCATATTAATATTTCTTCCAACAAAAAATGTCTCACGAGACTCCTTTTGAATGACAAAGCTGAGAGTGAGCTCCGAAGACAGTATATCCGGAGGCGTCCTCACATCGTCTTCAGAGTGATTCGCCAATAGGACTAACTCTTCTTCATCACTGCTAGTAAATGGTACACGAAGGAGACTAGCATGGTTTTGATGTTCGGTGTTCTTTCCTCAGGTAAGCCAGGTAATCGTTAGCGGTTTTGTCATTCAAGCCGAAATAAATATCGAGACGGTCTTTAGTGTTAATTATAATTAAGGCATCTTTGCAGACCTTGACCACATGGTAGGTTTTCCGGGTACATTGAGGCTTGTATCCTATTAGTTTAGTAGTTGAAATTTGACCTGTGCTCCCGTTCTTCATGCCGTTTGGTTGGACAGTCCTGGGGGAAGTGCTTAGATCTGGTCCATTGCCTGTATTTCAAGAACAAGGCTTTAGGGCACCGTCTTTGGCGAACCTCTACAGTCCACTAATTTTTTGCAGAGTTTTTGACGATCACATTTGAGCTCTGAGGGGCTGTGCTTGCGGACACAAGTTTTCTGAGAGGAGTGAACATCAGAAATTTTGTAGCTGTTCTTAGTTTCAGCATTTCCTCACTGGTGTTAGTGCTCGTTCCATCGATAGTGATGTTATCGAAGACCACTATCATTTCCCCACTGCGCAACTATGTTTACCCGTTGATAATTAGACTGCACTTTTTCAGAATTGATAATTTTCTACAAACTTGTCAAAAGACTAATGATACTCAGCATATTCCCAGCATTCCTGCCAGTCTGCAGTCTGATTTGATAAAATTGTCATAGGCGGATGCTGTAGATTCCATGAGTGATTCATGGAATTAGCTTTTTCAGTTGTCATATTATGTACCCGTGGTGATGGTAAAACAGTAATCAGGTAATATAGATCCGACCCAAATAACCATAATAATAGTAATTCTCAAATAACAACATGTTACAAGAGGCATGTCAATTTGCTGGCAAGATCAAAATGTTAAAATTGCTAACACATTTCCTGTAAAAGGTTGTTTAGTTACTTAAATATTTCAAATGATACACTGGCTTCATATAGATGGCTAAAATTTTCCACATAAAATTATAAATAATTTTTCAGACCATCACTGGACAAGGTTATTATCCACAGAAGAATAAATACATATAACCAGGAGAAACGAATAGAAATTTTCAAAACAGAAAAAAGGGGATAGAAAAACATGGTATAAGAGAAGGAATGGGCAAACATTCCGCCCTGATGAGCAGTTCAGCTTGAAGTTCTATAAAACTGAGTTTGAAAATAAAGCTCTAATATATTTCTGGGGAACATGATTTATTAGCCTCAATGAATAAATGATTGCATTAATTTCACCTGGTTCTTATATCATGACTTAATTTAAACTTTAAGAAATCCTAGGGGGCATGTTAAACCAGTGGAGTGATCCGGGGAAGTGCATCAGGTACACTCTTGTTCCTTATATACATAAGCGATATAAGACTATGAAATTTGGAAGATCATACTTATATGAGGCTGATCTCAAAATAGTTTACAGCCGTAAGCCTGAAGATATATACAAAATATAACCAGGATTCAGAGTAACATTGACAACTTATCCACCTGGAGTGAAACATAACAGCTACGCTTTAACCACAACAAATGTGGCATCATGCATTTCAGTAGACATCACCATGAAATTCCACTCTTTTTACAAGAAAGTATGTTTCAGACACTCATATCAACACATGATCTGGGTACTCATTACTCCAGAAGCCTGAAATTTGAAGGACATGCCTCTAATATTATCTCTAAATCTAGTCGGATAATGAGGATTTTAAAAAAATCTTGAGAAATAAGGCTAACCTTACACTCCTCAAAATGTTTATAAGGTCCTCACTTGAATATGTTGCCAATCCTAAAATTTTGATCTTGCCTGTAAATTGACCTGTCTCTTGTAAGATGTTCGTTATTTGAGAATAAATTATTATTAATACTGCTCACTTATCTTTTCAAACATGAATATCATGGAAAAAACACCCCATACAGGTATCATGAGATTATAGACGCATTCCGCAACACCTACTAACAGTAGTAGGTCACGCCTTTGAGGTGCTACCCGAAACATTGGGAGTCTTCCTAAAATTTAAATTCCAATCATTATCTTCCTAACCCTTACAGCAATTTTAATTTTTATTTGTAGTAGACAGATAGATTGAGAAGCCTGTAGATGCTGTTCAACTACTGTCAATTACAAGGAACTCAAACCTCCGGTATCATTGTGAGTTCCTTCCTATTCATGTTTTAACAGTTTGAAAAGTCTTTATTTAACAAATTGATTAACATTAAAACTCTGTTCTTTCTTACCTATTTCCCGCCTTATTCATAAATTTTTAACAGTCTTTTCCTTCATTCATCAGTTGCTTATCATACCTTTCTCCAAACTACCTATTATCTGACCTACATATGAAAGTATATACAATTAGTTAACTTAACAGAAGCTTGATATGCTACATGGATGTTTAGTCAAACATACAGAAGCCAAAAGCTGTCCGGTTTGCTTGCAACATGGAGTTGGGAGAGATTGTGCATTCTGACAAAGTGCAGGAAAAAATAGAGCTTAGATTAAAAAACATTATTTAACATCTACCATTAAATGTAAGAGCGCCTAACATCACAAAAGGAGGGAGGGTGGTGTATTTGATCAGCATTCAAAACGGAAGGGGGTGATAACCTCAATCTATCCATGTTGTAGATGGATTTTCTACCCTAGCAGTTCACTCCGTTTCCAATAGGTGCAGGTTGGTACTCAACGTGCCAGATCCAATAACAAAACACAATAATCCTGAGAGAAAATGG